TTAACCCGTTATTGATTGGTATCCCTTACAGGGAGTATCCCTGCCCTGTACCCACTGGGGTATTTAACCCGTTATTGATTGGTATCCCTTACAGGGAGTATCCCTCCCCTGTACCCACTGGGGTATATAACCTGTTATCGATTGGTATCCCTTTCAGGGAGTATCCCTGCCCTGTACCCACTGGGGTATATAACCCGTTATTGATTGGTATCCCTTACAGGGAGTATCCCTGCCCTGTACCCACTGGGGTATATAACCTGTTATCGATTGGTATCCCTTTCAGGGAGTATCCCTGCCCTGTACCCACTGGGGTATATAACCCGTTATCGATTGGTATCCCTTTCAGGGAGTATCCCTGCCCTGTACCCACTGGGGTATATAACCCGTTATTGATTGGTATCCCTTACAGGGAGTATCCCTGGCCTGTACCCACTGGGGTATACAACCCGCACTTCCCTAAACTGTTCCCACAAAGTTGGAAGTATTGAATTGTCCAAAATATCTTGCCATTAAGAGTTTCCTTCACTGGAAATAAGGGGCCCAGCCCAACCCCTGAAAAACAACCCCATACCATTATCCCTCCTCCACAAAACTTTACAGTCGGCACAGTACAGTCAGGCAGGTAACGTTCTCCTGGCATCCGCCAAACCCAGATTCACCCATCAGGCTGCCAGACAGAGAAGCGTGATTTGTCATGCCACAGAACATGTTTCCGCTGTTCCAGAGTCCAGTGGCTGTGTGCTTTACATCACTTCATCCAACGCTTCACATTGCATCGACGCTTGGTGATGTGAGGCTTGCATGCAGCTGCTCAGCCATGGAAGCCCATTCCATGCAGTTCCTGGCAGACATATTTTGTGCTGGAGTTAATGCCAGAGGAAGTTTGGAACTCTGCGGTTCTTGAGTCAACAGAGCGTTGGCGACTTTTACTCACTATGTGCCTCAGCACATGCCAACCCTGTCCTGTTTTTTCACGCGTTCTGCCACTTTGTGGCTGAATGTTGTACCTAAATGCTTAATGCAGTAATTCCACTTACAGTTCACCATGTTATATCAGGTATCTATCTAGCACAGAAGAAATTTCACAAACTGACATATTGCAAAGGTGGCATCCTATGACTGCACCACGTTTGAATTCACTGAGATCTTCATTCTTTCACAAATGTCAAAAACCTGACTGCATGCCTAGGTGCTTAATTTTATACACCTGTGGCAATGAGTCTGAATGAAACACCTGAATTCAATGATTAAGAGATGTGTCCCAATACTTTTGTCCATATAGTGTATATATAATCTCAAGACGTTGAGGTACCTGCTATGGGAAATTAGCAGAGAAGTCAGTAATTGGTTAAATATTACTTGTTATACATTTGATGTATCTGTCCATCTTTTATGTATATGGAAAACATCTGTGAATATTGTAAACTGATGCTTGCAAAAGCAAGCTCTCTTTTGTGTCTGTTTGTAAGGGGAGAAGAATCACCAGCTCATTCTTATGTATATGGGAAAGTAAGGAATAATCTGTAATACAGTGCAAAGTTTCTTTTATTTACTTTGCTATTTTTTCTTTAAGTAAAATATGTGAAAACACAGGCCTACCAGCAAGTCCTTAATTATATTTTGTTGTTTAAGTCACAAACACCTTCAGACTGTATTCACCATCACCCAGCTCTCCCATCCTATCACACTCCCTGCCGGCTAACCATGGTTACCGTGCTGTGCCACTCCTGGGCCAGTACCTCCCTCACCACGCAATATGACATCACTAACACAGTGCAGCATGCCAGAATGGGAGGGCCCTGGGACTGGCCCGTCCTACCCACCGGAGTTATCGAGCGTATGGCCAGTATTATACTTATATATCATTTTTAGTTGAGGCCCTATGCCTTTAACAATTAAAAACAAGAGCGATAATTTTTGACTAATAATTTTATATTTAGATTGATTCCCCCTCCCTAAACCATTTCACAAGCACCTTGTCTCAGCTCCAGTTCTCCATTGCTGTCAGTGACCTGTTCTCCACAAGTCTCTTGGCCTCGCATGAGCTGGAGTTGATGATTAACTAATGAGGCACAGCAGTGGTCAGCACTGTAGCTTCACGCCTTCATGGCTTCCACTGGGTAATCTGGCTTCCCCTATATTCCAAATACAGTTTAGGTGGAATGGTTTCTTTAAATTACCCTCTGACTGTTTAAATTGTATCCCCAGAGGTAGACAGACAACACAGAAATGAAAAAGGAAAATGTTTAACTGATTATTATTTCAGAGTACTTCAACCAACAGAAATCCTGGTCACATTGTCACAGATGTTTAGATAAAATGATGGTAGGAAAAAGAAATTAAATAAATTTACTATATATCTGTGTGTGTGTGTGGAAAATGCGGTTAAAAAACTTAAATCTCTTTGGAAAACCAACATTTCCATGGTGTCTGCTGCCAATGGCTACATATATTAAATCAGCAATATGACACAAAAGCAATATGATAAAAAAATGTCAGCAGAATTGTGAACATTACGATTTTTGTAAAATACCACCATCCATCCATCCATCCATCCATCCATTCACCCATCCATTCATCCATCCATCCATTTTCTGCTGCTTAAGCTGGGTCAGGTCCCTCACATGATATTACAATTTTAGTATTCAGTTATATATTTTTATGTAATACTTGCTTGGACTGCTTAACTTGGCATAACTGTAGAGCTTCTTAAATGAAAGCTTTTACTACTCCTTACATCCTTGCAGATTTATTGGTTATTGGTGTTTGGATTCTCTTTTACAGGATTGATTCTTAAAGCTACCAGCTAGGCTATAAACCAGCATGTCTCCAACTTTTTACCCTGATTATAGAGTACAAAATACATGTCAGGGGGCTATTTTCTAAAAGCATTGTGGCACAGTGTTCACCCATAACGTCCGCGGAACTCTGTTGAACTTGTATATTATTGCCACACAAAGAATGCAGCTTGTGTGCTGGTGACTAGCATTTCTAGGTTCCTCAATGCACTGTTGACAATTCGTGCTAATGGTAAGGTGGTCTGACACAAGAGGTGAAGACAGTCTACCTCAGACTCAATATGTTTTCCAGCTGAACTGGCAGTGACAAGTAAGTGGGTATGGTACACCATTAATCATCAGCTGATGAATGTACAGACACACTCCAAAGACTTGAAAACCCGTTGCTCAGTGTCTCCCACCTCCTCACTTTTACCAATTATTTTTCCCCTTTGAAAAAGGGCTTAACACTGAGTGCTCACTCTCTGTGACTATACTGCTTGCAGGATTTCTCCATCTGGGAAACGGCAAATAACCTTCCACTTTTCATTATTGACATTTTATTAGTGATAAATATTTCTGTGGCAGGTTGTTGTTTTACTTTACACTTTATTACATTAGCAAGCTTTTGCACAGATTTACATTTACCAGGTTGTCTGCTTTTCACACGCCCGTGAATTTTTAAAACCACGCTACATTCAGGTTCCTTCATTATTCCTCCAGATCTCACTGTGGTTTCTTCCTTTTTAAAAAATGTTCAGGATTATTTTAACCTATATTTTGCCATGGAAAAAAAAAATGAAACAAAAATGAAATATCATATAAAGCCTTTTTCAAAATGACAGGGACAATAAATCCATACAAATATCATGTCATGAATGTTATATGTTTGGTTGTTAGGTCAGCTGGTTAATTAGTTAGGTCTATATTTGTTTCATACTGTGCTCCTATGTAAGTCTTTGTGTGTGTGTGTGTGTGTGTGTGTGTGTGTGTGTGTGTTCTATTGCTGTATCACATGAACTGTGCTGAACTTTGTCATGAAATGAGTCATAATTCACACTTTTACAGCTGCTTACAAGTTGAACTCTTGATTAGTCATGACATTCAACTTCCTGTTATGTAGCTGACAAGCATGTGAAATATCACATATCAGTAAGCTTTCTGCTATGGAAAGGCTGTCATATTAAACTATAAATTCTATTCATTACTACTCTCTGGTAATATTTCGTAGGAAGTTAGGTTTTTCTGTTTATTTTACTTACAATTACTATTATTTCTGTTATTATTTAAAATAACTATACGTATTTTAGTGGTTATTAAACATGCATAGATTGATTGAGAGACTGAGAGAGCACATCACTGTGGAGCCAGTTATATTGCTCTACATGATGGGCATCTTCATTTTAAATCCATCCTACCAGCAACTTATCATCACTAAGGTAAGTGCACAGTGTGATCCATTCTAATAGCTAATACCTATTATAAGCACAGACACTGGTACAAACAAGACCAAATCATTCGCATTAGAGAAAGAAAGGGGTTTTTTTTCAGCTAGACTGAATGGTGCTAGAGAGCCATAAATAAAAATGTGCAAAATAAAAATTATGTATTGATTGAATGCAGACGATTTAAAAAAATAATTTGCAAGACTAATTATTGCATTTGAGGTATGAACAATTGTGGTATAATCATTGCAAATATGCTCTTTGGGATAGCTGCTCTTTAACGTACTATTGGTCTGCAAAATTCACACTCATCTTAAACTCACATTACTCACATGGCTGACAGTTAGACATATATGTCTTGCAAGACAGTTCGAGAACTCAGGTGAGATTTACCCACATAGAGTGCCACGCAATAAATAAAACACAATATGAGAAAAAACAGTAAATAAATTGCTTCAGGTGTGTTTTAAATTTCAGTATTTTTACTTAAAAATAAAGAAGAATAATAGTAATAATAATAAACAGTGCACTGATCTTCCAAACCTTCACCCAGGCCAAGTTAATTTAAGTTTGGAGCCTATCCCAGTCACTATAAGACACCGGGACAGAATGCCCACTGCAGGACACATACATGCACACACACTCGGGGAAATTTAGAGACATCAGTTAGGCTAAGTCAATGCCTGAATCTGACAGAGAAACTGGAGTACCAGGAGGAAATCCGTTGGACATGGGGAGATCATGCAGACTCCACACATACAGAAAAGAACTGTAATTCAAGCCCCCAATCCAGGAGCCGCGTGGGGCAATAGTGCTTCCCAAAGCACCATACCAGGACTAATATACATTATTATTAAGCTACTTGTTATGAACAATCTAACAAGAGAGGATGTTACAGGAAAAAAATGCAAGAATAAATAATCTGCACTATTTCCCTGTCCCTCACTAGAGCTGGGTGGGCAAAGATGAAAAGGCTTAAAATTTGCAGGTTGGACATTTTGTTTTTGCCGTTCAGCAACGTTGCTCTGTTTGCAGTGATGTCATCAGTGGTATCTCTGTCAATAATTACATTTTATGACATGGGAAGTACTGTAAGCATATGTGGGTCAGAACAAATGCTTACAGTATTGTGCTTTATGCACTCAATGCAAAATGCTTACAGTATTAAATATTAGAGTGCTTTGTTATAAGTTATAAATTAAGTTTTGTTTTTTCCATTATTATCCGTTATATATTGGACTGAATAGTAATTGGACCGAAGTAATTCTGCCATAATTCACCAGACATGCATACGAACGAAAACCCTCAGCTTTTTTTTGGCAAGCTTATGTATGTTTGGTTATAAAAACTGAGAGGTGAAATGCTGTCTCTGAATTGTGAGGGAGTGGGATCCTGTCCAGGGTCCCCATGCAACCTTGTACTGTTAAATACCTGAGGGACGCTCCAGACCCTACTGTCATCCTGTGCTGCATAACCAGTAGGGATATAGATCAATGGTCTTGCTGATTTAGTCTTTGACTGAATCAAGAAACGTTTTTTATTGTGCATGATCGTTAGACAAATGAAACACACATTTCTGTGCAACTTTTTCAGCAATTTCCTTTCTTATGTTATAAAATTATTAATGGAAATATCGAAACATACCGCATATATTTCCATAACTGTTCATCGTGGAAATTCATTGGGTCTGTATTCCAGGTTTGCAATGAACAGTATGCTGGCACAGAAGTTTGCAGAAATCAAGAAAATTACAAGGATGACAAGGAAATCCAGGAACGTTCTTCCATCATCCTGCTAATCTTCACGGCCACTCTAAGCTTAGTTTCCATACCACCTGCGATCTTACTGGGGTCCTGGTCTGACAGAGCTGGCCGCAAGCTTGGCATGCTTTTGCCAAACGCCTTGTCGCTGATTGGTGGTGGCATATTAATCACTATATCACAGGTGGAAGGAGTGAATGTCTATTGGTCACTTGCTGCAAGCTTCGTCGTCGGGCTTTCAGGGGGTCACGTCTCCATCTTACTGAGTTGCTTCAGCTATTTAGCTGACATCTCTGACTCCAACAACCGCACCATAAGAATGGGAATTGCGGAGTCCATGATCTTCATAGGTGGGACCTTTGGGGTTCTCCTCAGTGGCTTCCTTCTCCAGAGCTATGATTTTATAGCAGCCTTTGGGGCTTATTGTGGCTGTCAGATCCTGAGTGCACTCTACGTGCTTCTGTGGCTACGCAACGCCAAGCCTCCTAATATAAGCGTATGCTTGCCGGAAGCATCCTCAGGAGCGGAATCCAATAGCGATGCCCAAGCCAGACATTCCATCCTGATGTATGCGAAGCGGACCTTCAGGGCAGTGATGAAAAAGAGGCCGGGCCAAGAAAAACAGAAGCTGTATTTGCTCATCCTCTGCCTGTTCCTGAACAACACTATCGCTATCGGTGAGTCAGTGAGTAGATTCTTAACTATTGTTTTTATTGTAAAATGTGTTCTACTGGCCTTGTCTCATGAAACAGCATTTAGTAATTCGGATCGATCTGTATAATACTTCTCTGCTAACTTTGTGACAATTGTTGCATTATTTGTTTATTGCTAAAGGGCTACATTGTGAAAGCAATTGCTTTGTTGGTATAAAGTATTGATTTATAATCTTTGTATTGTAAAAAAGCTACATTTTGGTTTTGCAAGCTTATTGGCTAATACAATATATATTTTTTTTATTATTAAATAGGGGATCAGGCCATTCTACTGCTCTTTCTGATGTATGAACCTAGAGATTTCACAACAGAGCTCTATGGTGTGTTCAACTCCGCAAGAATGATTATATCAGTAAGTGACCCATTATCACCTCTGAAACTTAAGAGCTTAGGGATGTTAAAAGTAAACATTTGCATTCGATCAAACCTTAAACAGTGGCACAATCCATACCAGAAAATTAACACATACATAAAGTATTTCATGATACACACACTAAATTTTTGAGCGAAGCATTGTATTATAGATAATCTAAAATGAAATAGTTTATTTAGGTATTTCAATAATTTACCTTCGGTAACTATTTTCACAGTTAGTGAAAAATTATTAATGTTTTATTCAGAAACTTCTCTCCAATAAAGCTGACAGATATCCGAATTAAAAGGAAAAGTTGAGCGGCAAACCCATGTATTTGGACATTAAATATTAATTTAAATTCATTAGCTGTCCTCTTGAATTAATGCACTCAAAGACTACTACTCTGAAATCAACTAGCTCTATAAATATGTAATAAGTACTCTTTGAGTACATGACAGCAATTATAGCAACCTTGCCGGTTTGGCTCCCTTTTATTGGTTTAAATATAAAGGTGTTAATTTAAAACAAGCAGATTTTTTTGAGGACAGAGGCCATTTATGTTTACGATTGAATTTAAAGTATGGTAATAAAGTGTGACATAATAGTCTTGTCTTCTAATTAAGCTGATATGATTTAATGCTGATTGTGATTACTGTATTATAATATTTCTTTATGAATTCAATTGCTTGTCCAGCATTTATTTGTTTGCTTCTTTATCTCTATCTATCTATCTATCTATCTATCTATCTATCTATCTATCTATCTATCTACTTATGCAGCATGTGGTCGAAGCCAGTAAACAAATTTTCTGACTTGTATCATTGCACTTGTATCATATAAATGAGTAATTTAATTTAAGGGCATGAATGAAGAATAAATAACATGGAATACTTTGAGGCTACTGCTCCCCCCCCCCCCCCTACAGGGCATGGGTACCCTGGGAGATTCAGGGGGGCCAGCACTTCACATGGGCCTTTAAATGTGCACCATTACTCATAGCATTGGTTAGGGGGGGTCAAAGTGATATTTTGTCAGGGGGCCTAGAATTTCTAGATACCCCTCTGCCTGCACTACTAGAAATATATAACAGGGGAAAAAAATCAAGCCCAACTAATTTATACCAAACCAGCATTTACAATTGCCCACATAATGCATAATACCCACTATAGCCATGTGTATTATGCATTATGGATGCATGAAATGCGCTATAGATACCTTTATAATGCATTATAATGGTCAGTATAAGCGTTAAGAATGTTTTATAACTGCATTATAAAGTTATCTATAGTGCATTATAAATGAGAGCTTCATAAAGCATTCATAATGCATAATAAACATGGATGTGATGTATTATGGGTTTTTATAAATATTTCTAGTTTATAATGTTTTATGAATGTATTATTATTTGTTATAAATTCATTTATAAATTACTAAAAACATGGCCTTAAGTAAAGTGTTACCATATTATTTATTATTATTATTATTATTATTATTGCAATTATTATTTATTAATTACTTTACTTTGTCATTCACCAAATTTCAGCACCCAAGGAAAAGATGTCAGAATAGAGACTCTGATATCTGTTTTTTTTTTGTTTTTTTTCCAGTATGTCACTATGAAATTTAATAATCCTATAAAAAATACCTGCACATTTGTTTTTATGTTTTGTGGTGATGCTTTGCAAATAATGTGAGGAGTGAATTGGCACGTAATTAAAGCAGGCCCTCAGCAAATTATTAAAAGCCACAGACTTTACTGAGTTGATTGAAGTTAAAAACATAATGTGCTGACCTTTTCAGGGAAATGTTTATGCATTCTGATTATGCTTTCTGCTACATATTGGGGGGGGGGGTGGTTGATGACTCTAGTGGCTCATCACCCAGAGCTGCGGGGATAATTAAATCAAACCTGTCAGCACAAACATGAGGGAAAAATGAGTCACAGTGCCCTGAGAGTTACAATTTTTTTTTTTGGGGAGGGAGGGGGGTGGGGGGTGGGCAGGCTTCATTTGGCTACATTCACTCACAAATTTAATTTATAACTTCTACACACCTTGTATTATGAATTTGAAATTTCATTATTTAACGGTGCATTTAAACTTGAGCTGTCTAACCAATGACACCAGACTTGTCTAAATCATAGCTGCAATTTAAACGAATGGGAACGTTCGGTTGCAAACGTTCGGTTTTTTGTTCTCTAACTTTTTCCCCTTCGGTCGTCATCCGAAATTTTTATCCATACTTGACCGGCCGCACCGCGCCGAGCCGAGCCACTCTGGCACCTGCTGGTCCCGCCGGCCTACGCTGGTGATGAGTGAGGACACATTGCTGCTCATGTGCCACCTCTGTGGGGTCAGGGAAGAGCCCTGGCTGGCTGTAGCTGAAGGAGCACTTATCTCACCGTCACTCACAACGTCCCAAGGGCACCATGTGACTTAAACTGGCCAACTTAAACCCATTTTACTGAGGTGGAACTATGATCTAGGGTCTAGGATTTAGCCAGTTCTCTGGGTGAATGCTTCATTTTTTTAAGGTCACCCTAGATATTTTTACCGAATTTGAATTTAGTTAACTTTTATTTTTTTTAGAACATAAAAAAAGTATTTTATTTCACTACTATGTTTATGAACTTGCAAGTCATACCATGGGTTCTGAATAGCTGCAATTCATTAATTTATTAGCTAACCTTAAAAAAGAGAACCTTAAAAAAACTAATTGAAAACCAGGATACTGCAAAAGACCAACTAATTGGTCCCAGATTGAGCTCATCCAGCTGTAGTAATGTATCTTTTTTTTCCCACAGGGCATTTTTCTCATATGCATATTCCCATGGCTCTTACGGTGTATAGGAGAAATGACTCTGGCAAAAATTAGTATATTTGTTCGTGGAGCATCTTATATTCTTCTAGCTTTTTCAACAAATGCATGGATGGTGTTTCTAGGTAAGACAATATTAAACTCAAGTACATTTTCTTAAGCATAGGTAAAAATGTATGGAATTTTTTTTTCACATTGAAGAGTTACAGAGGGCATTGCATACTGTGTACCAGTATGACAAGATTAAAATGTTATTGTGAAACATAACAATGACATTGTCCTACAGTATGACACAAGCTTAAAAATGCTCATTTTAGTCAAATAGTCAGTTCTTATTTAGTGGGCATTTGAAAGTGATTATGTCATATTGTATGACTCAGATTATGACCAGAGTCCCTGAACAATATGCCATTATAATTACTGAACAAGAAAAGTGAATTAACATCATGACGTTTCTAACCCTTTGGTGTACTTGTCTATAATCCAAAATGATGGCCTTAAACAAGTGTTTTTAACCATTATTAGCATATGAAACAACTTGATGGGCAACACGAAACAAACACTCAATACGGATACGATACAATGCATTAAAATAAATTAAATACATTAGAAAATACATTAGAATTGACTTGCTGAATCTCCATCCTACATGATGAGATCCAGGAACGTTGTATCATCAGCAAACTTGAGGATGGTGCTGGAGCCGTATGCAGCAGGACAGTCATGAGTCAGGCTGAAGTACATTAGCCCTAGGGGGTGTCGGTGCGCAGGATGGTTAGTGCTGATGATGACGTCTCCAATGCGCACCTGCATTGCACACAATGTCCCTGTGAGCTTCTGGGGAATGATGGTACTGAAGACTGAACTGAAGTCACTGAACAGCATTCTTACAGAGGTGTTGCTCCTTTTGAAATGGGAAAGAACCAGATGCATCCTCAGTGGACCAGTTTGGGCCATAAGCAATTTGGAGGGGGTCATGACTGGCCTTTCCAGACACCTCATGATGACAGGTGTGAGTGCTACGGGGGCAGGAGACAGTGAAAGAACACTGAAGAACACAATACATAAAATATAAAAAACACAGAAAAGTTTTAAAAGATGAAGTGACGGCATCTAGAGTAATCAGCACCTGCATTCTGCTGTATTATATGTCTACAATTATAAAGGTCAGCATGACAGTTGCTCAATGTCATCTCCTCCATTGCAATGCTGATGCGTCGTGTCATGGACAAACAAACACGTGGATGGGGAGCCAAGGCAATGATCAGACTGCATGTTAGAACATTATCAGTATGCCTTCTTCCCTTGTATTAGTCCTTATAGGTTTCACAGAATATGATAAGAAATTATAACCAGGCTGAAATAAGCGTACGATTACATAATTAAATAGCATTTCATTAAATAATAATACAAACGTCAAATTATTATTAGTATTGTTGTTGTTGTTGTTGTTGTTGTATTCAATAGGAAACGTATATGCACAGTTCTCTGTGTTGGTCGCAAACACACCTTCTGTGCACGTCAATACCCAGGAATGACGTTTCGTTTTATCTCATCTTCTCAGTGGCGGTGTTGGGAGCTCCGAGTGGAATCCCTCAGGCCGTGATTCGCTCCAAGTGCTCCGCTGTTGTTGAACCAGATGAACAGGGTGAGTTCTGTGCCGCGAGTCCCAGAGCGCTGCCTTTTCCACAAACTTTTATTAGTTGTTTTTAGGGCCAATGTAACGCACAATAGTACCTCTGAAAAGCACCTATGGGAGGAAAGCCAGGCCTGGATCCCAGAAAACAGGCAAACAAGTAAAAGAGGGTCAGGCCGATCATTCCAATTCTCTTTAATTATTCTCTGCGTCAACAAATACTTATCCACATTGCGTAACATATTGAGAAATTGTAAATCGCAACTACAGTGCATAACTTCTTATTCACAAAATTTCTTTAATTAAACATTTCCAAGAAGTAAATTGAAAGACCCCTCTTTATACTAATTATAGTTATATATTGTTATATAAAATATATTACTTACTTCATAATATATAGTTTTATGCAGATAAAGAAAATGATGTTTAAATAATCTTCATGTTATAAAACTGAGTCCATTGTAGGAGGTTCCTCAATCGGAAAAAAAAAATTGGCTTTGTGGTTCATTCAGTTGCCTTGGTGCTTGTCAGATTCTCTGTTAGCCTATTCAGAATGGCTCCTGTCTGCTCCCAATGATCAGCTGCTGTCCCAGGTTAATAATCTCAGTCAAACTCGTTGTTAATAAGATTCAAACTCATATACGGGAGCAAGCTTCAAAACTTCAGATTACTCTTTACTGTACTCAACTTCTATTTCCATTATCCTTGTTATATTATATAGCAGGGGTTCTCAAAGTCCGCACCGTGATCCAGACGTGGACCAAATCACAAGTTAATCCAGACCCAGCTGATAATGCATCTTATGAAATAAAATAGTTAATGTAAAAAGGCTTGATATTGATGGAAATACAAAAATACCCGACAAAGAGTTGAAATGATCAGTGATCAGTTCCCATTATTGTTATATATTGATGTCTATATTGAAAGTCATTGTTCATTCATTAAAGTTTATGAAATTCTGTTTGGTTAATCTGATGTGGATCTGTGAGCCCTGTTATATACAAACTTGGGTAATTCAGGTCCAGAGAGTAAAAGTCCAGACCGGGATTTTGTTTCAACCAACCAGTTCAATCTGTGACTGTGACTCTTTATGCTCAACTGGTTGGTTGAAACAAAATCCCGATCTGGAGTTTTACTCCCTGGACCTGAATTACCCAACTTTGGTTATATAGCATATGCATGTTTCAACTCGTTTTAATTTTCTTCAAAGGTGCCATGTTCTCCTTCAGCGCCTCAGTGGAAGCATCATGCATCCTCATTGGAGCGGTGATATTCAATGGTCTATATTCTTTGACGCTGTCATCTTTTCCGGGGATGTCATTCATCGTTATGGCGGTGTTTTGCTTCATCATGTTAATCTTCCTACAGTACGTTACTACATTTTTAATTATATTTTGCAATCATTCTTTTCTACATGCTCCTGGGCAAAAAAGAAAAATAAAATATCAATGGCCCTAAGCCTAACCCTAACCCTACCTTTAGTTGTCTCTTAACACTCTGACATGTTTCCCGAAACATTCTTAGTTAAGTATATCTCCCGTGAGATATTCTTTCATAAGGTTGCTCTGTGCCTGCCTCTCTAAGCTGTGGGTACACTTGCAGACAGCTTTTTACAGAAAGAGGAGTCAAAGTTGTTCGACTCAGTGTTAATGGCTTAGTTGAAAAATGTTTCCTGCTTAGTTTGTGTTTAAAGTGAGACCAAATTTTCTCTGTAGGGTTCAAAACTGGACTCTGACCATGCCATTTGGGCAAACGGGCATTTGTCCCATTTTCTTATACCTGCTGCACAATGTAGAAAATATAAAAGTGTGCAAATTTCTGTGATGATGGGTATTACTGTAATTTAATCAACGGCCCTTTAACAACATTCTTGTTCATAGTCAAATTATATTTAACGATGCAAAGGATTACCTGCTTTCACATTTTTTAGAATGCTCTTGAATGCTGTTAAATTATATAACACGAGGATGAACGACACTTAAATTGAAATATCTCATCATGGTTAATAAACCTACTTGACTGTATAAACTGCAGGGCATATCATAAAATATATAATTTAAAAATTTAACATAATTATTTAAATATAATTAAATATATTAAATGCTCATTTTCCGTTTCTGCATTTAAAAAGAAGTCTGACAAGAAATATAATAGAAGTCTAATACCTCAGTTTTCTGGATATTCATCATCCTTTTAAAGACATTCTTTAAATATTTACTTTGGCGTAATTTAATTTCAGAATTTATCCAACAATGCTGGCCATATTGGTAGATTAGCAAAAACATTCCATAATAAAGTATAATAATAATAAAATGGCAGCATGTTAATTTAATTTTAGATGGCATGCCTGTTCATTGTAGATATGTTTATTGTGGATTTTATGTGTTATTTATTCATAAAAGATTTTCATTTAACTGTGCTTAGCAAAGAGGCATCTCTTACATATATTTAAAATGCTATGTTTACACTCATTTTTTTCATTCAAAGAGGCAGAATCAACATTGTTTCACTTTTTTAAAGAGCTGCCTTCTTCTTTAGAGACTCAAAATCATGTTTGTAATAGAATGAATCAAGGCTTTCCTATATGTTTTTCTCATCTTTCTATAACAAATGAACCTGAATACATTTTTGTCTTCAAATATCACACAGTGAATAAAAAGTGACAGCTCTGCAAACTAAAAGGCAGAAATATTCCCATAAGCGAAAGTTTCCTGTGTTTCAAACTATTCCCCCAATTCTTGTTTGTACTATGTAGCATTATCTAGTGGAAAACAGTCTTATTGCTCAATTAAATCCTTCGAGTGGCTATAAAATAAGTCCCCTATTGCCTGTTTTTATGACATAAATGCGATACAGCAACTATAATACACAAACAATCTATCAAACATTAAGTGCTCCATGTTAATGAACTGGTGACAGCATGCTATTGTTATATTGTTAATGCTGTTAAATAGTTGGACAAAACTGGCATGATTACAAACTTACTTTCCACAGTTTTCCTGTTGTTCTTTTAAGTTTCTGTTTGATAGCTCAGAGTGGACAATCTTTTCTTCTTCTAATACGTTTTAACAGAATCTGTCTTAAGAATTTGCAGACAGTATTGCAGTATTGCAGACAGTAAATTTCCTATATACAGATTTTGACCTACTTGTAATGTCTTCACCTTAATCCAAATTACCGACATGCTACATTATGGACAGCGACCAACTTATTTGTTAATCTTGGCAAAATATCAGTTAGTTCTTGATTATGGCCAATTTAATAAAATCAGACTAATAGTTATTTACGTAACCAAACTGTTAAAAAGGCTGTCTGCTCTTTCCGTCTGTATGGACCCAAGTTTTAGCTACTGTTTTCAGAGGAAAGCAACTATTCTCAAAGAAAAGATCTAACTGAAATTTAAGAGAATCAGTATCACAATGTTGTTAATGGCTTACCTAAGGGTACAGCACATGTAAATTTAGCATGGTCCATATGAATATTTAATTATTTTGCATATTATAAAAATAAAATGCCTGGCAGAAACCTAAATTAAAAAATTCTGCATATAATATTGAGTGAAACAGCGAATGTTAAGAAATCTCCCCTGGGAGAAATAGCTTTTTTTTTGTTGTTTTTTTTTTTTCACTTTTTATATCACCCTCTAGTGGTGAAGATCTACTGACCAAACAACATCAAACCTTGTGGATTTTCTGCCAATGTAAAAAAATAGGAAATACACCATCCAGAATTACATTAAGGCAATCTTCTTATCTGGGATGACGTATTTTCCCCTTGGCAGTTAATGGAAGTTTGGTGAACTGATTGTATTGATTCAGACACTGGATTTATGCGACTTGTTAAATCCATACAAATCCTCTCTGAGAGACCCCTTTATTTCTCTGCTTCAAGCCAAAATGAAAATACCAGTCCGATCAATTTTTTTTTTCCTTTGTTTCATTGCTTAACTTGATATTAATTTATTTGAGTGGCCTACTGCATGACTAAAAACATTTTCAGTTTTCTGAAATGTTTGAGAACAATATATTATTATTATTATTGCCAGTAATAATAATATAGATATATAGATATAATAAATGCATGATTCTTCTTCCTTATTATAGTCTATTATTATTGTTGTTGTTGCCGTTGTTTTAAAATGCCTAAAGACGGGGAAGCTGAGAATTAAACATTTATGACTTTGGAATGATGCCGTTTGACTTTGAATAGAGATTAAACTGAAATAAGTCACTTTTATCTTTAAAATACCAGTTTAATTTACAGTATGTCCTTGCTTGCCCATCTGCTAGAACAGAACGTGTAGCCCATCTGTTCACAATGTTACAAAAAAGCAAGACTTGCTCAGAGTATAATTGGGCAACATACAATAAACAAATAAACAAATGAATAGCAAACGAGTTAGAACCCATGCAAGAATTCCAAGAATATTTGGCTGCTGGGACAACAATCAATATACTGTGTTCAAAATGATTGCTCTGAGGTGCCATCGTTAATAATCAATTTAGTTGGCTTTGGTTATGTCCTTGTCACAAATATAGCCGAGGTTTGATGAGATTACCTTCAGCTCTCCTGCTGGGTGTGGCTTTAAAACATTCAATAAGTCCTAAAGCTGTCAGGGTATGTACTGTCCGACCCCGCCCTCTGTAACCCTTCCACGTTTGGCCAGCAGGCATTGCTGGCCATTCCGCCTTTCCCCCTCTCTGTCATTTAGTCCATCCGTTTCCTATGTGTTCACACCCCATTTGGCCAGCAGGTGCTGCAGGTCATCCTGGTCCCTCTGTCTTAGTCCCTAGTGTGTTTTCCCTGTTCCCTCTGTTGTTGTAGTGCTGTTACCCCTAAGCGCTTTGTCATTAGTTAGTTCCCTAGTTCTGTGGTTGTTATTATCAGTTACTTTACCTGTTGCCTGTTTTCCCAGTTGCCAGTATTTCATTGTTCCATCTGCTGCTAGTTGTCCTGTGCCCTCCGTGATTGGTTGACTGTTTGATTCACACCTGCCGTTTGTCAGTCCTCGTTATATCTGTAATTAAATGCCTGCCTTTGTTCAGTTACATAGTCAGTCATTGCATTTGGTGCCTGTGTTGTGGCACGTTATGGTGGCACGTTACGCTGGCATGTTACGTTGTTTTATAGTCCTGCTAAAATCCCTAGTCCTGTTCCCTGTGTCGCTCACTTTGTAGTTTCCCCAGTTTGCGTTCAGTTCCTTTAATAAACCCTTTTGTTGTCTTCGAGCCACCAGTGGATCATCACCCTCATTTCTGTGAGCACCACGCCCTGTGTCCGTAACAAAAGTGTAAATAAAAAGCATAGCATGCACAATTTGAAGAAATGCAATCAGAATAAATGTTATTAAATACACCATGATTGCGCTGCTTGTAAATCTCCCATGTGCATTTCAGTAACCATGTCTCTTCTTCCCTAGGTGGGTTACTGAATTGCCTGCCACTCATCCCCATTTCATTTCCCAGGACTGAACTGCTGCACATCTTCGCACTTTATTTTTAACATGGCTGTGGAACGAAACCTGCTTGTTTGCACAACTCAGAGTGATGCCAGTTATTTTTCTGTTAATTTAAGATACTTTATATCTGCTTGCCACCATCCTGGGTTGCTCCCTGCCTGGTGCCCCTTCCAGGACAGGCTCTGCCCCCCCCAGGACTCTGCATTGCACAAGTGGGTGTAGACGATGGATGGATGGATACTTGATATCTATCAATGTCCTATGGCGTTATCTTTATTATGCTCTACATAGATACATTTTATTGTAAAATATGTAAGTAAATGATTATAAAGAAACCAACACTGCTAATTAAATTATCTAAATAATCACATATTTCTACAGTAAAGTAATAGGATTTTTTTTAAAAAGCGTAATAGATGACATGTTGTAAGCAAAATAAATTAACTAGTATGACATTTTATTTACTTAATTTCAATAAGAATCTATTTTTTTGAAAAAATAAAAATATATAATTTTTAAAAGGCTTAAAAGTGAACAAGTGTGCTTTAATTATTTTTAATTCATCTAGTCCAAATGACTTTGAAGAAACAGTGCAGGAAAAAAAACACAATATTGAAAGAACTGATAGAACAGCAGAATCGAAACTGGTTATCTGGAATGTTAAAGACAGTAGCCCAAGAGAGGTTTCAGCACGGCGGTCGGAATTCCTCTCTCCATTACACATATGGGAAAGTAAGTGCAGAGAATATGAAGAGAAAATCTATGAATACATTGTGGACACAGTGGATACTGAGAACTTGTTATGTCCGGTAAGCGAGCTGGCGATGAAGCAGGAGATTGGAGCCGTAGATACGGACAAACGGGTTTATTCCACACAAGGCAGGAAGGACAATCAGGGCAGAATACCACACGGAACAATACATCATTGACAGATCTGGGGAAGACTGACTCAGACACGGACTAAATACTAAAGACAAGCCGAGACAACAAGGAACAGCTGGGCACGATCGGGAAAGCACACGTGGATAATGAGGGGCGTGGCACACATCGGGATCGAACGGAGCGGATCGTGACAGAACTCAGTAGTGGTGCACTGTCGATCAATACTGAACACAGCGTACAGGCTGTGTTATAGGTGTGTATAGGTCTTTCGGCATGTCCTATTTGCAAACCCTCATCTCTAATTATTCATAGATAAACAGCATATCACGCATGACTGGACTGCTTGAATTGCATGCTACTCAAACCTGATATGCAAATTAAGTGTATGTACTGCATTTTTAAAAGAAACTGAAACAGTTACAAGGGTCTTCAGAGAACCTAGCTTTTTGGTTCAATAATATAATATAATATAATAATGTCCATTATGTAGTTTTTACCCCACTACTAAGGACCGATAAAGGCTTCATAATGTATTCATAATGCATTCATAGAACATTCATAAGCAGCATGTAAATATACCTTAATGTCCTACCATACCTTAAGCTTTAATATAGATTAATAACAAACATCATATTAGACAATTACAAAGTTTGTCATCATATATTATTTGAAGGTGAGGTTCATGTAAAACATCACCAACTTTCATGTTTTAAGGTTTATCGTTGCAGTGTTTACGTTGTTTTTTGAATCATTTTCCTGTTTAAAGGTGACTTCTCACTCTAAACCCATATCTCTGACTCACACAGGGTTTGCTTCCAGATTTGCCTTCATTTAGCTCAGGGGATCTTGTGCATGATATAAACCAGCTTCCTAGGTTACCCCAGCATAAGGTTTCCTCCTCCATACTTGAAGGTAGGGATGATGTTAATCAGGCTTTGTTTATGCTGCATAGTGTTTTACTTCAAAGACAAGTTCAGGTTTAATTTCACATACATTTGTGCTCTTGGGAAGGCTTAAAGATTAGCTAGTCTTTTCATAACACTATTCAACTCGTATCATTTCAAAGTTTTACACACAATTCCCTGGTCTATGTGACACCTGACTGGCGTGATGTACATAGGTTGGAATTGTTCACATTGATCTTTCATAAAGATTAAATATGTTATATACACACTCGCCAGTTTATGAGGTGCGCGTGCTTATATAAAAAAACACTCTGCTCCTCTAAACAGTGAATCACGCAGCTGCCAGTGAATACACACAGCATGCAGACAGGGTCCAGAGGTCTGACTGCTGTTCAATTACACATTAAAATAGCTAAGACACCTGATCTAAGTGATGTGGAATGTGGTTTGATTGTTGGCAGTGTATGTGGGGATTCCAGAATCTCAGAAATAGCCACCTTCCTGGCAAAGAATGGTGTGACAAACAAACAAATCTAGTCAATGGCATTTTTGTGATCTTGTTAAGGATGATTAGAGAAGAACGTTCAATCAATGAAGTGTGTGTGTGTGTGTGGCAGGGGCGGATTAAGGTGTACGGAGGCCCCTAGGCTACAGTAGTCTGTGGGCCCCCCAACCCAGCCCCGCTCCGCGCCAATGGGGGCCCCCTTGCAGGCTGTCACACGTGGGGCCCCTAGGCTTAAGCCATATCTAGCCTGTGCGTTAATCCGCCCCTGGTGTGTGGATATACAGGTATATTTATATAATGGAGTGTGTGTGTGTGTGTGTGTGTGGTTCAGGTATACTTTACCTTGTGGGAACCAAATGTCCCCACAACATGATGAATACCTTTTTTTTAAACCTTTTTTAACATTTTCCTGGTTTCCTGGTCCCCATATGGGAAAACTCTATTTTGTGTGTGTAACACAATACATGTGAAAAAGTTGACAATTTATTGAAGTGCATACATCATGGATGTAGTTTGAGTTTTGCTCCTACTGTTATTGTGTAGTTTTCTTCATGCTAGGATGCCAAACTCTTTTCTCTGAATATGATGTTTTCAAAGACAGCAAAACATTTACATCTCACCACTACCCATTTTCCCGTTCTCACATATTTCTCATTATGGCAAAATGCTGGGGACCAATGTACTGCAGGACACGCCACAGTAATTCGTTGTGTTCAATTTCATGCAATGGTTGGTTGTAGCAGCAAAACAACACAGAGACTTACTCAAGGCTGTCAATCTTTGCTTTACCATTGTGACTAATCTTAATTAATGTAACAGTATTTCATTGACAAATTTTGAGTTGTCTCACACGCACAGGAAAAACAAAACAAAACAAATGTGTCTCATAATCAAACTTCAATGCAGCTAATTTTCTGAAATGTGAATCCAAACCAAGTGAATTAAATAAGTTTAATTAAATCGATACATAAATAATGATAAATTACTGTTATTAGGACTTCAGAAAACAAGGTTGACAACCTATGACTAAAATAATAGCATAAATTATAACATTTTTTGCTGTAGAACAGTTGCAGTAAAGGTTACCTAAGTAGTTAATAAGTGGCATATTATCTATAGTACAATTCTCAACAGTAAACAGCACTTCACGTTTTCTGATTTTTATTCATATAATGAATTAAGTGTAGGACTATGGCAGTCACCCAGTGGGAGATGACGCGGCAAGAATGACCTCATTAAGTCAACCTCATTCAGGTGAAAATGCAATCTTCAAAAAGGAGGCCTCCTGGACTGCAAGGAATCGCTTCTTTTGGGGTTTCTGAACTTTTTCATATCGAGACCTTAGTCCTGAATTGAATCTGAAGGGCTTTGCATTACAACTCAAAATGTTTTTATTCCTATTTTGTACCTTAATAGGTATTTTCACTTTATATGGATTTCTTCCCATTTATCATTTAATAATTGCTTATAAATTATAAATAAAACGGAAAACCTGACAATAAAAAACTAACGTGTTCCCTCTAGCCCATAGCGTATTTTCAGCATTTGAATTATTTGTTCATTGACACCTCCCGCAGGATTAATTTAGCAGTCTGGATCATCCTAATCTAATCCTGAAGTAAAGCTATTTACTGTAGCTGTTAGGATTTATCATAAGGATATACAGTAAAACCTTGGATTGAGAGTAACTTGGTCTGTGAGTGTTTTGCAAGACGAGCAAAACTTTTCATTAAATTTTAGCTTGATAAACGAGTGAGGTCTTGCAATACGAGTATTACGTATACGCTTTGTCTGTCACGTGATCACAACTGAGCCGATGGTTCTTCTCTCTCCAATTGTCCAATTGTCATGCAGTACTGTTATAAATAGCTCTTTGCTAGTCATCACTCTTCTGATGAACACTAAATGAATACTAGCATTTTTAATTTATTGTACAAAGCATTTCAATAAAACCAGTAAACTCATATTTTGCACATTAGATTTGCCTGTGTGTTTGTAATGTTTTTTTGTATATGATGCCTTGGACTTGAACTCGTGCTCTAATGAGGCCATGGTTCAGCTGTCGCAGCAGCTGAAAAGAGCCAGGAGCAGAAGGCAGTGACTGACCCTAGGACTCAGTGATGGACACCTGTGGTGAGGGAAGCTGCCAAGACAGCTCTAAGGGCAGAGTTTTCATGGGGTTCTCCTGGGGCTGCTAGAAATTACTGACAGGCCAGAGGGCTACAGTGAAGACAGACTGACTGGTGGCCCTAAAGATGTTTTGGCAAACCATGTAATGCCTCATGAGGGGGTGGCAGATCTTGTTCATTCTGTGTTCAGCCAGGATGGGGACCTGCAGACCGCCCTGGGGACATTGTGGAACTCCGTAACTTGGTGAAAACTCTCGGCCATTAGGAGACAGTGTTTAAGACTCCCTGTTTGAGCAGAGTGACTGAGGCTGCAGGTGCTATGGTGGTCAGAGGTCTCTGCAGTGAAAAGGCTACAGTTACAGATACAGTGAGCACACTGGATGTTGTTGGGGTGATATACATGCACATTCAGCGTTGCACAGGAGGCAGGTAGAGTATCTTTAGACTGGTAAGCAAGGATGGTGGTCTTATATTTAAAAAGGGGAAGCCGACCTTGGGGGATCATACTTTTCAGGCTCCATAGGAAAGCCAATGCCTGTGTAATAGATAGGAGACTCTACCACCCAACGGCTGAACGTTGCAGGTTGTGGTCGTGGACTTTTGTCGAGTTGAAGAAGCCATGGGACTGCGTATTGTGGGATGTTCTGCCAAAATATGAGTTACCATGGCTGCTACTGCATGCTATGAATGCTGATAAGGTTGTGTCCACATCTAGGGAACAAAATCTGACCCATGTAGAGAGGGTGTTGCCCTCAATCAAAAGTGTGTCTTGTCTCTGGTTTCTGAATTTCACCGATATGGTACCAAACTGGCTTGAACGGCTAGAAGTGACATCCCTGTCGTTGGCCTCAGCTGGTCAGGACCCTGTCATGTTGCTGGCTCAACATAAACTTGTGATCTTGGGTTCCTTTGGTTCTGCATTGTTTTTCACAGCAGGGGGGGATTGTTAAGTCAGCTCCAATAAGACTGGACTTACACAGTAA